GAATTCGAAGAAACACTCTTATCTGCATTTCACATAATTTCACAAGTAGAGTTTGTATTCAGTTCAAAATAAAAAAGCTACCGTTAAAAGTAACTGCTCGTTAATTACTTTTAACTGAACCGGTAATTTTATTACGCAGAGCATGTTTCATAAATGTCGAAAATACAAAAAGTTAACGTTGTTATTTTAAAATAAAGCACCGCTTTACTTCAGTTTTGGTTGAAATATTCATACGAGTTGATACACTTATTCAATTTAATAGTATTTACATGAAGTCAAAACATATTATGGATTAGCCAAGCTACTGCGAACTATAGGCTATATCTATGTTCTCATTAATTTATCTAACAATTGTTAATTTTTAGTACATATTTTAAATATATCTCGCCATTTGAAAACTTTAATATTTTTCACATGTGCACATGAAGGCACTATATAATTTAAAAATGGAAAATAAATTGAAATTTTCGACTCGGGCAGGACTTGAACCCGTATCGTCAGTCGAGCAAAGCACGGAACGCTTACGATGTAGGTTCAATAGCCTTTTGTATGTCTTTAAATGGTTTAAGAACATTAACCGATTAAAACGCGAAATATAGCCATTAAACTTATTTTAGATTAACTGCCTAGACAATAATTAAATATCATCTAATGCAAGAAGAATCTTGTATAATATAGTTTTTGAATGCTTAATCGCCATTAAAACCTAGGCTTTATTCTATAGTTTTACTATAGTTCATGTAACTTGACCACTCGTCAAAGATCTGATGCGTTCGATGGCACCGTTTATGCTAAAAGGTATCTATTTACTCGCAATTAAATTCCCTGAAACGAAACCTCAAATAGCTGGACCGAACGAAATGACAGGTTCTGTACTTCAAAAGGGAGGTTAACCGAATGTGATTGGCTATTCATTTATGAGTGGAGTGATTGGTGTTCGCTACTTTATATTACCGGGGGTCGATTCTCAAATTATTTTCACACGTTTTAAACCAGATGCTGTTAAGGATCTTCAAAGGTGAAGATACCTTACGTGTCTGTAGAATTAGTATAACGACATAAGTAACCCAATGCTTACTTAAATTTAAATTTGACGGGTCAGTCAGTAACCAATATATGGCTAATAAACAGCGGGTCGCGGATTCGATCCCCACCGGTGTGAACAAGTTTTCGCAGCATACGGAAACTGAACGGAAAATGATTCCTCTTTATATATCTAAAAATAGTCCGCGACACTATATGTCTATCTTTTAAGATTAATTTGCAAGAACGACGGAACACGATGTCGAGGGCAGCTTAAATTTATAAAGAAGTATATGTTTGCAAAAAGAAATTTCGATGCCCTATTCTATGCGGACGAAGTCGCTGACACAGCTAGTGTTATATAAATACCTTCCATATTAATTTCAATGGTGATCAAACCCACGGTCCATTGATTTTTTGGTCATACATTGCTATCAGACGAGCCCGTTGATATTATAATTATGAAAAAATTCGTTACTATTATTATATTTAGATGCTTTATTTTACTACTGCATTTGAAGGTAAGCTAAGTTTTCTACATTTGTAAACAACGTGAACTAGAAATAGCATCAAGTCTGGAGTTTTACAAGCTAATTCTGCACCGGAACGAGTATTGATTAAAGGCTTTTGTGGATTTTCTATTTTCTTAGAGGAAAAGGGGATAAAGGAGAAAACAAATCAAAAAGTTTGTCATTTCTATGTCTTCTTTATTTCATTATATTATGTATGACATTACATAAAATGTATATTTAAGAAGCTTACATTCTTCTACACAAATCAGAACGATAACATTACTTTATTAACATGAAGTTTTAAAACAAGTGTAAAAGCCTCTTTAAATTAGATGACACCTAACTAATAACTGTTAATTAAAATTGGTGTAGTTTTTATAGTTAATTTTGACGTTATTTCCTTATCGATACTTTTTGGCACAAAAAACAACTTATACGGAGTGCAATAGTACAAAAACGCTAACAAGCGATCTCTTCCAGGCAACCTAAAATATACTTTTTTATAATAGACGAAGATGGTAGAGAGAGAGAGGACAAGGAAGGACAAGGATGATAATTGAAATACCACAGCCGTGTAGTATCTAAACAAGATGTGCTATCGACCTATTTTGGCTTTGAGTATTCGAACAGAGTGTAACCGAAACGCCATTAAACTTCGAGGAATTTTCACCATTGATCTGTGATATACATTTAATATCCAGATACCCAGATGAAGTCCGCCATTTTCAGAAAAGCTATTTGTTTAGGTTGGACTCGATGGGGACCGAACAAACGACTCGTAGATTATAAGCCATAAATTGTTACCATTAAACCAAAAAGAAATAGCTGCGTTAGCGACTTCGTCCGCGTAGAATCAAATTATTTTTTGCTGTTCTATAATTTTGAGCTGTTCTTCGTCGTTTTTGCAAGTCAATCTTAGAAGATATAGTGTTGCAAACACTTTTTGAGAACAGTTAAAAATAAATTATTCTTACTGTCTATAGTTTACGCGAGTAGTACACATTTAAATAAAACAATTTAACGGTTTAAAACGCGATATATTTAGTTAAAGTGTTTTATTTAAATACATTATTCTTGCCTAAATAATTTTTAGGTATCTTGAATCGATTTCGCAATGTACGCAACGGATACTCACAAAGGTGAATAATTTTCCCCGTATTCTCCAAATTTCCTTCTTTAGTCTCAGCGCAATGGTTTATTTTATTAACAGTAGTTTTTGAGAGTCGAGAGAAACAAACATACAAACTCTTCACCTTTACATATCAGTATAGACATATCTCTAATCTTGACGACCACGTACTATATCAGTTCCAGATATAAGGTATCAACAAAAAGCGTAATGGCAATCGGTTTCACAGAAGTGGAATTTCGCACGTCAGCTATTCCGAGTGATTGATTAGTTTTTAACTAAAAGGATATTCATCACGTCCTCAGATCCTTGTTCTTACACAAGAAAAGACAGTAACAGATTTCATGATGAGCCAAGTAGTGGGTATTTTTATGCCTCGATGACAGTAAAATGTTCATATAATTCCTCTATAATGTACTAATTATATCTTTGAAATCGTAAAGCGTATTTCCGTTCTATTCTATTCTTTACCTAAAATATATCGATCTAAGTTCATAAGGTAGAACTAGAAAATGGAGAAACATAATAATATTTGAAAACTTTAATATGTATCTCATAGTATTGCCTACGATCTTGTTAATTAAAAAGAAATATCTATACATGATTGTTTAATTGGTTAGAGCAGTGGCGTATTTTTTTCTTGTTCAAGAATATGAAGAAAAATTAATGAAAATATTAAAATTGGAATTAAAAAATACGTATGATATAATTATTGATTCACGATTTCTCAATACATACTTCTAAAAATCAGACCTACATTCCTCAGAAATCGGTAGAAATGCCTTCTACCCTCCATTCAATTTATAAGACTTTAATGGAGTGCACTAAAACTTGATGCAACTGAGTAAGGGCAATGTTCAAAGTTTGTGCATAACTGACGCTTTTTTTTATAGAACACCAAAACTGTGTAATTTTTTAGTACTTAACTTTTAAGAATATAACATATAAAATCTAAGGATAATGTTCTATAGCATTTATTAAAGACATAATAAATAGTTCACAAACATTCGTTATGTATGCTGAAACTTTAATATTTTAGGCCTCGCCGTACGATTGAAAAGCGTCCAGGTGAAATTACTTTTCAGTCCGATACAGAATCTCTACGAAAAACTGACGAGAATAATTGGATAAATCCAAAAAATACATCGCATGAGTTTTTCTAGCGCACGAGCAGATTAAGTAGAATCGAATATTTTTAACGGGATACAGGCTCGTTTTTAAAGGGGAGGTAGTAACAATATTGGTATATATTCTGACGGGCGCATTGGTGAAATGGGAGCAATTCCAACATTTTTCTAATCAATTTATAATTTTTCTAAAACATATTAGACTTCGTCTAGAATTCTGGATATAAAATGGGTGGTAGGAATATCGAAATTCCGTCCGGGTCACGAACCACCGTCCACAAATGAAAAAGCCGTAGAGTTTAATCACGCTTCGGTTTCAGTCTGTGGATATCCAAAGCCAAAATAGGTCGACATCGCATCTTCTTTAGATGCAATTGCTGGGGTATTTCACCTACAATCAAGGGAATTTCATCATAAAAAGAATTCGCCCGTCCAAAAAGGTTTTGAAATTAAAACCTAATTACGAACTAAAGGCGCAACTGTGGATCGTGAGCAATGCTCTAAATTAAATCAAGTCCAAACTTTTAACCATGCAGTTAGTCTCAGTCGTATTGAATAAAGTTTCTCCCGATAACATGCAACTGCAAGAGTTACACGTTCCAAGTCTTAGATACTTTGAAGTGAACCCGCGGTCGGAGGGCGTGGCTTTGATACACTTGTTTGTCACAGAAATCGGAACTTATCTCTGTTATTATACATATTCGAAGTTGTTCGTGTAGTTTATTAAATGAACCAATTATAGCACTTTACTTTGACTTATAATACCATATTTTAATAACGTCCAAAGTAAAGTGCAACTGTCAATAAATAAGTTTAAATTGTATGAGTTCAACGATAAAATTCTTGGTGTTTGAAGTCGCTCTAACAAGAAAAAATAAGTTGTGTATTCGTGTAAAACTATTTTTTTATGACCGCCGTTAGTATTTTTCTTTTGCGTGATTTCTTTTATTTTAAATCAAATAGTCTATAGACGTACTACAGCTTCAGTGATGGATCCCTAGCGTACGACAACAACACGGAACGGTTAGAGTAACGGCACGGAACGCTGTGAATGCCGGTTCAAATCCAACCCGTGGCGTATTTTTTTTTTAAATCTGAAGTCGGTCTTTAATTTATCCTTAACGTAGTTAAAAATAAGGCAACTAATACATTACGCGTTCTAAACCGTTTTAGTTTTAAATAAATGTCCAAAAGGTTGTTGTAACTTACCTATGACGTGTAGCACGAGCTTGTAGTTCTTAGTGGGTGACACTTTGAAGTCCACGCGGCATCGGTAAAGTGCCCTGTCGGTGGGGACCACGTCACGTATCTTTAGCGCAGAGTGAGGCGACGCGTGCCACCTGGCTCTGCCCCCCAAGGACGCATCAGCCCAGTGTGCTGATGGGCCTTTAACCCGTCCGTCGTAACTGAAACAAAGGACGACAGTATTAAGAATCCTTCTGATACTAAACACTGAACTAAATTATTTTTTAAGACATAGGATAACACAAGTCTATCAACATCTAAGTAAGATTCGCTGTTGACCTATTTGATTTTTTGATTTTGGTTATTCGGAAATTTACTGACTGAAACTAATATGCGGAAGTACACTTCTCGGCTTTCATGTATCGAAAGTCGTTCGTGGAGCGGACGGAGTCTCTCACTAACAATTTATTATCTAGACAGAACAGACATTTTAACAGAAGACGTCTAACATGTTTTAAGAAAATTTAATTGAACTAAAATCTATTTAGAGAGCACATTGACCGCACGGGCGTGATTTGAACCAGCACCGCAGTATGCCGTGCTGCTGCTCTAACCGACTGAGTTACCGTGTCCTGGACGTCGTCGTCGTTTTTTGAATCCAATGATAATTTCACCTATCGTGTATTGTTATTTCAATCTTACACGCACATATTATGAATATTCAATGTCTTATTCTTTGCTGTCAAAGAAATCATTGAAGATGAAATCACAGAGTTAAACCTTAAAAAAAATGTTATTTTAAAACTCTCGTTTAAATTTAGATTGATCAAAATAAATGTACTCTTATTTTCTTAGCTTTGTCAGGACCACTGTCTGCATGTGTAAATAATTTGTGCAGTTGCTTAATATAATTCAAGCTTACAGTGTTACCATAATGAACATCAAACGTTGCGTACCTGTACATATCAAGTAATTTCCAAACTTTCGTGATGTTCGCCTGAAAGCTGGAGTGCTTTGAAATGAAAACGTTTCGACTCATAAATATTTCATAGCTACTGTAGAGGTGCCTTCGCTAACTCTTAAACGAAGTTTCTGGGTGTAAGGCTCCTTCTAATGAAGCAGTATGGCTTAGAAAAGGCACGCGCAATGATTAAATAGTAGAAATATAATTATTTATCGAGCTATTAGCTAATGAAGTAAGCGGTAAAGTAAAAAGTTAAGTGCGAGTCGGAATCTCTGACGAAAGCGATTTTTAATATACAGGAGGACAGACATGCACGGTGTTTCACTTGATGGTAGGTAATATATAGCCTATTTGAGCTTTGGATATTATATATCCAGAGCCACGGAATGAAACCGAAACGCGATTACACCGCACAGTTATTTTAATTAGAAATTCATCACGACACATTAATTTAAATTGAATGTGGCTTAATGGCTTTAGAGCATATTCACAAAATTTTATTGAAATCGGCTGAGTAGTTTAGGCGCAAGAACCTTGTCAAATTCACGAAATACTTCAAAAGTAAAAGGGTTGTAGAATTCAACTAATTTTGAGCTACTTAGTTACATAATATTATATTTGATACTATCTATAGTTAACGCGAGTAGTACACATTTAAATAAAACACTTTACCGAGTTTAAAACCATTTTTTTTTTAATCTTTTTTATTTTTAACTTCGGCACCGAACGTCGGTGCCGAAGTTAAAAATCATTTTCAAATAAGTTTAACTAATATATCGCGTTTTAAACCGTTAAAGTGTTTTATTTAAACATTACATTTGCTTGAAATTATTTTTTTTTTTAGAAAATTTTTTTTTAAGTGTTCTACTATTTCATAAGGTATTTGAGATTTAACCAACTCTGCTAACGGCAATAAAACATACTGACAAGGCACTTAATATTCTAAAAAGATTCCAAGTAAATTATAACGTATTGGTAAAAAATTCTTTGATCTATTTACCTTATATTAATAAATCATTTTACGATGTAAAATATTGTATACCCAACAAACTTCCTCTTTTACATAGTAATCCGTCAATTTTCCGAGAACTCTTAACAAGGAAAATATTATACTAAAATACCAGGTAATGGATACACCATGTACTAGTAGGCTATATGAAAATTCGAGGTACATATACACATATTTTTCTTATTTCAATTATAATCAACATCAAACGGAGAAATATTCCAGACGACATCATATGTTTGTGCATATTTCGTATATTTTTTTCTGTTAAGGATTTTCTGTAATTTAAGCGACTAGTACACATTCAATAAATCACTATTAACGGTTTAAAACGCGAAGTATATTACTTAACTTATTCACAATTTATTTTAAGTATGAAAATAATAATATGCAGTGTTTTACCGCATTTGAAACGTAGGGTCATTGTGAAAAATAAGGTATTATATTTCGCGTTTAAAACTGTTCAATTTTAATACGCATACTACAGCTACTTTAGTATAGTGTGTCTTTCAATCACTTAGTAATGGAGATTAGGATACCCATACAAAGGGAGTATATATAAATATATATGTATATTACGAAGATGCAAATGGATTAGCGGTCTTGTGGCATTGTGCTGCGCCATATTGTCAGTACACACACCCGGCGCAAAAGATGTTTAAAACGTTCGACACGTCTTAAAGAAAAGCTAAAAGTAACTATAAGGAACGCCGGGAATTCACGACTTACTAAAATAATATTTATTCTACACATATATAGAAAAAAAAGGGGATAAAAGTATCCCATATATTGTCACATTTTGTTAGTGATAGCATTTACTATCTTTCAGTTCTAGTTTGGTATTGGTACTTATTGCAGACGCCACTGTGCGCTTACGCCGGTCATAATCAACTCCTCTCTATTTAAATAAAATACTTAAACTGTGATTGACCGTGTGATGAACCGTGAAACGCGATATATATTAGCTAAACTAATTTGAAAATTATTTTTAACTTCGGCCCGACGTTTCGGATGGTTTGCAGCAGCCGTGGTCACGGGGAGACGGCTGCTGTGTAGCATCCGAAACGTGTACTACTCGCCTAAATTACAGACAGTATAATTTAGAAATCGAAAACAAATGAAAAAAAAAAATCGATTTGGGCAGGACTTGAACCGGCATCGTCAGCGTTCCGTGCTGTCGCTCTGCCAATTGAGGTACCGAGTCCTCCGAGTGACTCGGTGAGTGATTTTTATATTATATAGTGCCATAATATGTAAAAAATAATAAAGTTTTCAAACTACAGACAATATTAATTCCTCTCCAATTATTTATAACATTTTACATTACAACTTATCTATTCATTTGCACAGTATGGTTTGAATAAAACACTTTAACGTAAACCGTGTTTTATGAATCGTAGTGTAATATTAAACTTGTTTGATAATTATTTTTATTAAAATTATAACACCGTTAAGGTGTTTTATTAAAAAGGTGTACTCGCGCAAGCATAGGGCACAGAAGTCTGATCAACAACTTGCCTGTTAAAGAACGGATCAGTGAAACGAACACAAAAACGTGTTCGCCTCCCAGAGGAAAAGGGATTTCACACACTTGCGTTACCTACGGACAGTATTTAAGTATGGTTTGATATAAATATTATTTTCATTTGAAAATAAGTAATAATTTAATTTGAGTTCTTTGTAATCGAGGATAAAGAAGCCATATTGGATCAACCATATTTTCCTTTATTCGTTCTTGGATTATTTTCACAGATATTGGGCAAAAAGGTTTATCCTGGAGCACATTGTGTCAATACAATTGAAGTAACGGTCAGCTTATAATATTTTTTGGTCAAGAATATAATACTGGTTATGTGGATGCCATTAGTAAAAATATTAAACAACACTATAAAATCTAAACAACTAACTTGATTATAACCATCATTTATTACCAGAACTAAGACAATATAAATATTAATTCAAACTTACGACATTTTTCTTAAAAAATCGTACATAATAAATTTCTGAAAATACATATTTAAAAATGTTTCCTTTTTTTCTACATTTAATTTGAAATTGAACAAAAAACTTTTATTTAACTTCATAATATTTACACTTTTGACGATTTAAAACGTGTTTCGTGACCATGGCTGTCGACATGCATCCGAAACGTCGGGTCGTTGTTAAACATTGATAAACAAATATACATCCGTTTAAATAAAATACTTTTAAAGATGGAGGGTGTCACTACCGTAGCAGTTTTTTACTTTAACGTCAGAGTCACCCTCCATCTTTGGTATCCCCATGACCACGGCTGCTGCGAAGCATCCTAAACGTCGAGGCGTAGTTCAAATAATTCAAATAAGTTTAACTAATACAAATCGTGTTATAAATCGTTAAAGTGTTTTATTTAAATGTGTACTACTCGTGTAAAATACAGACAGTGTTTAAATATACATCCTTTTAAACTGTTCTCAGTGTTTAATTTAATGAATAAATTTATTTGATGCGAGTTGAACTGCAAGTATATACAGTGTTTAGCGTTCTGAATTCAAATATCATCCAACTGTATTACCGTTTTCCCCAGTAAGAGAAGCTGGTCAGCAATAATGCGGTTACAATGCAGTTTGCTAAATACTCTCTCGGCGCTTATATGCACGAACCTGTGTGTATTTTCTGCAGAAACAGTAATATCGTTTAGAATTCTATATTTGCTTCTAAGAATCTTAGATATGATGGCCGGGGCTAAATGACAGTAGTTCTATGTACTGATAGCCAAAATAAATCGACAGTGCATCTAGTTTAGACGTTATATGGGTAGGGTATTTGACCTCCCTACAAGTAAACGCCTTGCTTGTTTGTCCTCCTCTATGTTAAAAAGTACACTTTTAAGGTAAGCAGAAATCACGGTTTAGAACGTCCCGTCGTTTCAGATCCAGAAGTCTTGGGACACGGGGGCCAGGGCTGCTGCAAAGCATCCGATACGTCGAACCGTAGTTAAAATAAAATGACAATAAGTTTTACTAATATAATTCGCGTATTATACGTATACTAAGTATTTTCTTATCTTAGTGTTTTCCTGTTATTAATGTGAATGTTATCTTATTGTTATTATTTTCCAAGTATCGTTATAAATATTACAACTATACCAATCCAAGGAGACAAGGGAACTCAATTGTCTTTTTGAATGAAGCAAGATGCTAAATATCGGGCCGGACCCAACGGTGTAGCTTGGGGAGGTTGGGGAAATTGCGTACCAGTAATAACAGCAA